CATTTTTAGCTGCTTTGTGCGTAGGCGTCTCTTCTCCCTCTTCACTTGTGGCATGACTCTTGCTCTCGTTTTTTTTGCTATGGTGCATCACTTTTTTTTATGAAATAAATATGTTTGCATATAATATATGAGAATATACATATTTTTGGAAATTTATGCGTTTCATAAAAGAACAAAAGACAAACAAAATACGCATAAAATATACGTGTTATTGTGTACGAGAGGGTTGATTTATAAGTCTGCCAATATCTATGTATATATACACTCAGAAAAAGAATGACAGGGTAAATTTTTAAATTGATTATATTACATTTTTACGGCTACTCGAACCCGTAGACAACATCTTAAACAGTTGGAGAGAACATTTCATAGACTGCAGCATACATTTTCATTGGAAATTCATTTGATACTGTTTGCTTTCGCGAAAAAGCTTAGAAAAAAATGTATGCTAACCGCCATTAAAAGAAGAACCTATTGATTTCAAAGTAATTAAGTAAGAAAGTGGCTAAATTCCGAGAACTGGGCTACAAATTGCTATCCTAATCATTCCCTTTACCAGATCAAGTTGCAAACGTTTTTTTTTTTTTCTTTTCGTGTTGTGAGAAAATTGCAAATATGTTTTCATATTAGAAGTTTAGTTGAACGAAGGTGAAGAGCAACAATGCACAAAGTTAAGAAACCTTGAACCCTATTGAGTTTAAAATGCGAACGTTTGTTCCTCCAAACAATGGGATATTTTAATGGAAAAGGTCTGTGAAAGCTGTATGGAAAGACCCTCGTGCAAGTACTCGTAAATTTAGAAACATTTTGTAAGTGGAACGATGACACAAAGTCTAATTTACTGCTAATAAAAAAAAAAACGCGACGAAATAAATGCTGACAGCGTTACTCACAAGTAGCAGCAACGGCGCAGCAGCAGCATCGGGAGAAATAATAATAATAAAAAAAAAAAAGTGGCAAACACAATTTCAATTCAATTTTTTTTCTTTCTTTTGGTCGCCGCCGTCAACGACGAACACGGCTAAACTGTCAAAACGGGTGTCAAAGATGGTAGGCAGGGGCGGGCGGATGTTGATGGTGTGCAACATATCGATTGACAAGCTGAGCATATTGACAGTCCATGCATTGTCATATTGGCATGTCGGCCAAGTAGATATCGTAAGTTAATTGGCTTTTAAAAGTCATTTAGTGTTTGCTGTTAGCTGTTGGCTGTTGTCGTCTCCCAGCGCGTACAACACGACGTATGCGCAATCTGTTTTTGGCTCTATGCTTGGGCTTTGGCTTGCTTAAATGTGTCAGCAAATTGCTTTGGGGATTGGCCAACTCACGTGCTTGGCTTGCTTGCTTATCAGCCAATATATAAATAACACAAAATAGTGTCTAAGGAAATTTATCTACTTTGTACTCTTATCACTAGTTGCTGCGTTCCGTGTGTGCGTTTGTGTGTGTGTGTGAATTGTTATTTAATATTTAAACAATGAGTTTGCCTTGAAATCTACCTAATATATGTATATATATCCATACGTATATCTATATTTGATTGCTTAAAATTCAACAAAAACTATACGTAGGCATTATAGGTACATAGTGATTTGGTGACTATTTTTGAAGGACAACAAGAGGACGAAAGCAGAGCAGCAGGTAACCACAATTGAGCTGTTTCCAATCAGATAAATTATTCTAGAATTCGAGGCTGTAGCGTTAAAGAAGCACTCTATAAAAGAACAAATAGCTCTGGCGTGGACTCTATTAAAATGTAATAGAGCTTCAAGCCTCATTTCCTTTTGTGTGACCCAACAAAAGCGGAAAGGTGAAGGGGCCGTGTGCGGTCTGCAGTTGTCTACTCAATGGAGCAGTCAAAGAGGATTATGTTTTAGACATGCTGCCTGAATGGAAGCAGTAAGGTAAATTTCATTAAGAACATGTATTTAATATTGAAAATTTAAAAAGATGTCCTTCAATTTTTCCATAACATGTAATATGTTTTGGTGTTTGCAGAAAAACGAGCAAATTAATCGAAAGGGAATATATTTATTAGTGGAAAGCAGATTATAATCAGTTAGAAAGTAATACATTGTTCTTTTTTCTCTTGATTTGCCTTGCTGCAAATAGCTAATTAAAATTGAAGGGAGTTTGCTATTTTTTTCAGTTTTAATACTTGCAAGAGCAATAAATTTTTACACGTTCTGTTTTTTTGTTGGCTTTTATCTATTAGCCCAGTCACAAAGCGGCTAATTGTTAAGTGCTTGCAACGAATTCGCGCCAACATAAAGGGAAAATGCCACAGAAATTTGTTGGAAATATTGATGAGCTTTGATAATTGTGTGTCTACTGTTGGCTTTCGGTTGTGTGTATGGGGTAGGTGAAGAAGGGAAGAGGAGGTGTGTGTGTGTGGCAGGGAGTCCCGAACTGTTGACGTCCGCAGAAGGTCGTTGCTTTTATTGGCCAACTTGATGTTTGTTTTTGGCTTTTTTGTTTTCGGTATCGGGGCAATTAAACAGATTTTCATTTTCTTACGAAATGTTTTTTGAACATCTTTTCAAATATATATGTACATATATATATCTTTTTTTTTGTTGTGAATGTTTTTTATGATTATTGCTTGAGAAAAAGAAAATATAATCAATATAAGTTTGAATGTAGCATTTTTTTTTTTTTTTTTGATGATTGTGGTTTATTTATTTATTTATTTGGCCAACTCCTACGCAATAAAAAAAAGCAACAATATGATGACAAACTCATGAATAACAAATTGCAAACTAAGCACATTATTTGTGAATCATTTTGAATCATTTCACGGTTCGTGTGAATATTTACAAATAATTAATCATGGTTAGAAATTTGAGTTTGACGTCACGCGTCTTAAAGCCATTTAATGTGTCTGACTTGGAAGCCAGTCAAATTAGGCAAAGAAAGCGTTTTGTTTCTCGTTCAGTTTGCCAGACTAATTAATAACACTAAGTTTAGTTAAGTTGCGTTAAGTTCGTTAAATTCATTGAACAAACTTTGGCATTGGTTTGCGCAAAATTCTATTAAGCCCCACTACGCATTAGCTTTTTGGCCAGGTAACAACAAGCACACGTACACACACACACACACACACATAGACAGAGTCAGGTCAAAAAGTATTGCGCATACGCCATGTACTTAGCTCTAATTTAGCAGCGATTTTGCTTATGGCCAAAATTGTGTTCGTTCGTCTTTGAGCTTTTGTTTATTTAGCGCAATGCTAAAATTTTCTTTTCTGTTCGGGCGTTGCTTCTATTTTTGGCCCCGCAGCTATGGTAAACTTTACGCCGAAATTAATTTGCATATGCGCCGAGGAGTTCAACCAAAAGTTGATGTTGATGTTGATTTTGTTAGGGAAGCGTTGCAGATAAATCATCAGAACGAAAGTGAACCAAAAAAAAAAAAAGGAAGCAAGACAAAACAAAACATTTTCATCGGCACTCGGACAATATTTCCACCTGCCTGAAAAGCGATTTAAAATTTTATTATTTTCTTTGTTAGATACGCATGAGCCGACCAAATGAAATAATACATAAATTGAGACGAGAGCAATTCGTAAGACAGAGCAAAAAATACTACAACGAAAAGGAAAAAAGAGCGCGAGTGAATTGAACGCTGAAAGAAATGAAAAAGTAATAAAGGCAATAATAACAAAAGCAACCTACAGAAAAAAAAAAGGTATTGTTCTTGTCTCCATGATGGGATTTTCACGTGCAACATGAAAAAAATGTAGAAGATGAACAAGAGGAAGGCCAACAACAAAACCCTTGTCAATGGCAAAGCCAGCAAAACACCTACACACACACACACACACACACAGGTACACACAGGCACTCGCACACATTGAGTAACAGAAGCTCCTTTTGCCTGTCAATAAAAATGCCTTTGAGCCACAGCAAGATAAAAACTTTTCATGACTTATTACGAGAACCTCCGATTCAAATTCACTCCCCACATAATTAAAGCTAAACAGTAGAAAATTTTGGTATCAAATATATGCTCTCTTTCTCTCTCTTTCTCTCCTTCTCTCCTTCTCTCTGCATGATCCTCAGCTGCTTCATTATGCAAATGAAAAGGGAGAGCGAAAAACAAAAATTGGCATAAAAACCAAGCTCTTTATGAGCTTAACGCATGCTGTACGCTCTTAATTACCGGTCGCCAGCCGCAAAAGGGAAGCTGCGTTCCGGGCTACGGGCACCGGGATACCGTTAAGCTTCAATAATGTATTACGTTCATCTGCAAAGTCCTCTAACGCAATCAATAAAGCATCAGCACCCGTCGCAGCCCGACGGCAAAATGAAACAAAACAACAAAGTAAAAAAAAGGAGCGCGAAATGAAACGTGCGAACATGCAAGGAATCTGGCTTACATGATGCCCAGAACTAAGGAAAAGAGCGACTGACAAAAAGAGAGACAGAGAGGTTAGAGAGACCAAGAGAGAGAGAGAGAGGGAGAGAGAGAGGAAGATGTAGCTGGTAGCCGTAGGCTATTGAATTGTATATATAAGCTACACAAGTATTTGCTCTGTCCCATTTCCACCGCCCATTTGCACGCTCCCCCTCTTTCCCTCACTCCCATGTTGAGTACGTATCCATTCCCACCCGTTCCTATTCGCATTCCTGGGGAGGGGAGCAAGTACGTCACCAGCTGGTCGCTGCTTGGAATTGTGTGCGCGTGATTAACGTGACACGCTGACCCCTCCTCGCTAATGTTGATAGATGAAGCAAGTTTGACGGATGTGTGCATGTGTGTCATGTGTGTACATGTGTGTGTGTGTGTGTGTGTGGATGAATTAAGAAAGCCCTTATGTATCAAGTGTACTGGCATTATTCACTTAAGGTAAAAAACAAATTCGCTTTATTTGCTTATCAAGTAAAGCGGGGCACCCTTGGTAGATACTATTGATAAGCGTAAGTATGAAATATTTAATCGCAGAACAGCAGAAAGAAAGAAAACAAAACGTAAAAACAACAACAAAGCATTCCACTCACCTGACTTTGACGCTGCGCTTCTGCTGCTGCTGCTAAACCACAAAACGAAACGATAATTGTCTCTCTGTCTCTCTCTCTCTCGCTCGCTCGCACACACAAACACAGAGTGTCTCTCAGTTGCTGGTCGCCACACACTCTGGCTTTTTACTTCTTACGATTGTTGCTTTTGTTGTTGCTGCTGCTGCTATGGGCTAAAACCAAATTTAATTTGTTACTCTTATTTGGGTTTATCGGAGGGCGCACAGGCGAAGGCGAAGGCGAACGCAAAGGCGAAGGCGACGGCGAAGTTGCTGTCGAAGTTGAAGGCTCGTACGGCGAAATCAAAGCTTTAAATTCTGCTACTGAACCGTTGCTGCGCTGCTTATACTGCTGCTGTCGTTTATATGTTTTTTTGTGTGGTGTGGCTTTGATGTTTCAAACAAATATTTTATTAGATTTGATTGAAAATGAGAGTCTGCTACGGTTACACACACACACCCACACACACACTCTCTCCGCGCATACAAATTTTCAAAACGAGTACAACTAATTTACCGTTATTTCATTTCGAGTTCAGTCAATAATTGCAATTAGTCCAATAAGATTGCGGTTTATTTATTCTAATACAAAATGTGAAGTTGTTAAACTGGTAACAAAAAAACCAAAGCAACAATAGCAAAAGGTTGTTGTATAATTTGTATTTTGGCAGTGTAATTGTTTAATTAATCGTATGTGCGTGTGTGTGTGTTAAATAAACATTGAATACTCTCAGCAATTTGTTGAGTCTGTATTTTCTGCACACACATACACAAACATAGATTCATAAGGTATTTATGTGTGTACACGTGTAGGTAGATATGTGTATGTGTGTGAGTGTGAGTGTGTCCACGTATCGCTCATTTACGTGTATTGTTTATTTGCACTTGTGCTTTATGCTTTTTTGTTGGGCCTGTCTACTAGTAAAGCAATTGCTCTCTGTTTCTTTCTCTCACCTCTCTTTTCTCTTCTCTGCTTGCACAACTCCCCCCCACACACACACACACAACCACATGAGTTCACCTGCTGCTCTGATTGGCATTTGCTTTATTTAAAAGCATCGATGACCGTGACCCGATTGGGGCAATTGCATTTCGATACCTTGCACTCCAACCGATACTCCAATTCGATTAGCCGCAATTGCCAATCAGTGCGAGTAAATTCCTTGTGTTTACAATCCTTTTTTATTTCAATTGATTTGCACAACTAATTAATGAACGATTGCATTGATTAAGTAATAGGGCTCACACAACCATCCACACACCCACACTCTCCCACACACAGACACACAATTGTCTGTCTATCGCAATCGCAATGTGATAAACTGATTAGCGGCATATTAAGTACAGCAGTCACTCGGTAAGTATTACTTTAAGTACAGTAGTCACTCGTTGAGTACAGTGGTCACTATGCACACTCTGTAATCTTAAGTACAGTGGTCTCTCTGTTAGTGTTATTCAAAGTACAGTGGTCTCGCTGTTATTTTAGTTTTAGAATTATTTTAAGTACAGTGTATACCCTGTAAGCAATTACATTTCTCAAAAATCTTGAAATTTGATATACTTTTATTTACTTTATTTTTGTCTAATATCTACTTACAAATTGTAAACGAGGTGACCACAGTGCTGTTAAATAAACTTTTCCAACCGGCACTTAAGCTCAACACCCACAACTAATCCTCCCGCTTCTCTCCCCCACACTCACCTACATCATCATTTTTGACCAATGCTTTTGCTCGTCTAAGGCGAGTCTAAGCGCTTTGCGTTTATTGATTGTCCCCCTCCCCAACCACCTCCCCCTCAGTCCGTAGAGCGAGCAAACGAATGTTTTGCCCCAACAGGCGTCCCCAAAAACCTTGCCAACGAAAGCAACAACAACAGCAGCAGCAAGGCTGGCAAAAGTGATAGGTAAATTTTTGTATGTATATTTTTTTTTTAGTGGGAGCCTGCCGACTGTCGACTGCTGACTGCCGACTGCTGACTGTCGACTGCTGCCCACCACCTGCCTGAAAGCCCACCCGTCCCCATTCGCCTCCTCGCCCACACTCCTCGTGCATATCGCGCCCTCGTTTTTTATTACGCGCACATTTTCTACATACACTTCTTGATTTTTGCTTCTTGCTTCACAATCGAGACGACAAAATTTGTAAGGTGAATTTTCGTTTAGCGATTTTTTAATTTATTTTTCTTCTTTTTTTTTTGGTAAAATAGTTAGCACTGTTTTTATGAATTTTGGTGTGAGTAATTAGTTTTCAAGTTTTGAACGCACGCATTGCCCGATATCCGAGAGAATATATCTACCACTGGCGACGAGGGCACACGTTACTATAATACTGAAACTCGGATTCTGATTGGGCTGACTCGATACATTTTGTCAGCCGGTATCGGCGGTATCGGTTCGCCAGCCAGCGATGCCACTCCGTTGGAAAATGCGTGCAATAAACTGTGACGTCACACAGTGTGAACATATTTTGAGCTAGTTGGCAACGCGACTGTTCAAAGCTGTAAGTAAATTAAATCTTGTTTCTCGTTTCTTCTCCTTACGCACACTCGTGTGCAATGGGAATGATCAAAAACCATAGTAACTTTCGCCTTAGCATTTTCGTTGACAAAATCGTCAGAATTCACTTAAATTATTGTCAGCGGCCTACATATCGATGAGTTTTCAACATCGCAACCTTATTTGCCCATCACTATCCACACCACAATCCATTCTTGGAGCGAGCCGTCGAATCGGATAAAAATATTTATTTATTTCGCACCGAAATCAAAACTAAAACTAACTGCAATTATATACGCTAAATTGATCCCAACAATCAGGCGATGGCTGTGCAATAACAAACGAGATGCATAACATGACTTCCAGTTAGATTTAATCACTTTCACTCTTGCCACAGCTGAGAAATCATCGCGGGAGAAAGACAAAAAAAAGAAGAGAAAAAAGCAAAAGTGAAGAAAATACAAAAAAAAAAATCCTAAACTGCTCCAATGAGTGTTCGTCTTCTGTTTGTGGGCAATTAACTGGCTGTGATTCACTTGGCCAAGGGGCAAGTGAGCAACAGCAACAAGGACAACAGGAACAACGAGAACAACAACAATAATATACAAAAATACACTGTGAGAAAAGATCAGTGGGAATAGCATGGGCAACGAGGACATTCATCGACGCCGGCAGACACCTTGCGGCTGCTGCATGTCCGTATTCAAGTGGATACCCGTCCTCTTCATATTCGCCGTCATCGGCTGGTCCTACTACGCCTACGTGGTGGAGCTATGTGTTCGTGAGTAGCAGCAACTCTCCCATTCCCCTCCCAATCTTCAGGCATTAATTCCCCCTTCGCCCTTCGCAGTGAACACGGAGAATCGCATTGCGATGGTATTTATGCTGTTGTTTTACCATGTTGCCCTCGTTCTATTTCTCTGGTCGTATTGGCAAACCATTAACACATCGGTCGGCCGCGTGCCGGATCTGGTAAGTGCACCTCCACCCCTCGCCACCCGCCTCGCGTTAGTGATTCATCCACGGCTATTGTGGCTGATAAGGGCCACTGAGGCGATAACAGCAATTAAGCATTGGGCAGCAAATTTCTAGTCTCACTAGTCACAAATCATTGCTATGATATATAAAAAACCGACGAATAATATATTGAAAATCTTACATTTCAGTGGCGCATACCAGACGAGGAAGTGAATCATCTGTTTCGAGCTGACAACACGGAGACACAAAAGCGGATTTTAAACAACTTTGCACGCAATTTGCCAGTCACAAATCGGTGAGTTTTTGCTGGCAGAGAGATAAGAGTTGTGCTCGGCTTGTCGAAGTGCTTCTGCACTTGATATGCTTCCCCTTTACAGAAGGTGGAATAATTGCGAACTAATGTTCTTACTACATATTACATCCACAGCACAATGAATGGCTCTGTGCGGTTCTGCGAGAAGTGCAAGATCATCAAACCGGATCGATCGCATCATTGCAGCGTCTGCAGTTGCTGTGTGCTCAAAATGGATCATCATTGTCCCTGGGTGAACAATTGCGTTAACTTTAACAACTACAAGTTTTTCGTATTGTTCTTGGGCTATGCTCTGATCTACTGTCTGTATGTTGCTCTAACTACGCTGCATGATTTCGTACAGTTCTGGAAGGTAAGTTGCCCAAAGGCACTACGTCAATCCATGCACAGAAGCTTGTATATTATTATATATTTATGAGTGTGTTTTGTGTATTAACATGCTGTAATTAACCTATATAATATATGTATATATGTGTGTGTAAGAAAACCCAATTGATTGCTATTGATGTCTTGAAACAGGGTCAGCTTACCGGCACCGGAATGGGTCGCTTTCACATACTCTTCTTGTTCTTCATATCGATCATGTTTGCCATTAGTTTGGTGAGCCTGTTTGGATATCACATCTACCTGGTGCTCGTCAATCGCACCACATTGGGTAAGTCACACAATTTATATATTTATTTATATATTTCATTTACATTTAATCCTTAAACAGAGGCTTTTCGAGCGCCCATCTTTCGTGTTGGGGGACCGGATAAGAATGGCTATAATCTGGGTCGTTATGCCAATTTCTGCGAGGTCTTTGGCGATAAATGGGAGCTCTGGTTTCTGCCCGTATTCACCAGGTATGCAAATCATACAACTCAATCATTTAATCGTTGATCAGTTCTGCACTCTCTGAAGAAACAAATCAGCTCAACCTGATCTTTAGTTGTTGTTTTTGTGTGTATTTTGTTTTAATTCCAATTATGCTGTGCATCGCTTTTTCCCTCAATCTTTTTGTTTATTATTTATTTATTTTTTTTTTTACTATTTTCCACCATTTGGCAAAATTGAGGCTTGTTGCAAATTAATCTCGGAGCTTTCGAATGTGTTGTGCACCTAACTAATTACACCCATTGTCCCTTTAAAAAAAACATTGTTTTTCATTTCGTAATACAAAACTCTTAAAATAAGTCGCGTTAAACTTGTGTAAATCTTTCGGGAAACAAAAACAATTGTAAATGTTATCTTTGATTTATGTAAATCTTATTTAGTATGTAAGCAATAACCAAGATCGCTACTAAATTGGGTCAATTAGCAATTAGTATACACAGAGCAACATGGATAATCAACCATAAGCGATTATCATAGTTATAATTTGGATTATCCTTGCAGATACATTAATATTGAGGCTCTCAGTGAAGCAAATTGTTTTCCAAACTAAAAAAGAAGCGTTCTTCTATTGAAAGAAATGTGAATAAAACTATTGAATTTAGTATTATTATGTTCAGTAAAATTTCAATGTGTCTGCAAGGATATTTAATGTTCGGCAAACCGAAGATAACACATTTTTTCGATTAAGATCTTGCGGTTGGCTCTCAAAAATAGTTCTTAGAGCATAGCAAGCATTGCGAGAAAGACTGTGACTAATTATTTCGAAAGCTGCTGCTAACAAAAATGCTTCCTAAAATCACACAAGCCACAACCACAAGACTCTTCAAGATTTATAAACTAAACCGTATAAAGTGCAAATTCTAATAACATCATCAACAACAACAACAACAAAATGCAACTAACCATAAATCAAAAACAAAACAAAAACGCTTTCTGTTTCAATTTCTGTTAACCGAATACAAAACTTTTGCTTATTCACTCACAATTCAAAAACGACACTCACAAACTGTGATTAGTAAGGGTGATGGATTGAGCTACCCTACGGCCAACGAGCAAATGGGGAACGGCAACGCCAACGGTCAGCGCTATGAGGCCATGGGCCAAACAACAACAGCAACAACAGCAAACGTCGGCAGCAACAGGTTAGAGGGGCAACCAACAGATAAGTTGATTGAAGCTATTCCACTCAATAATCATCATCCTCACGTGGAGCTAGAGAACGGTCAATCATCTAGCAACAATCATCCACTTATCCCGTCTAGTCAAATCATTGTCAACGTTGAGCAAGCAGCAGCGAAATTGGATCCCAATCACCACTCCGGCACTGCCATCGATATGATCGGTGATCGGATGGCGCCTTTCACAGCCAAGGAAACAAACGGCGCACCACCATCGAGTCCTGCCAACCACATCGTGTAAAAACAATGCATTCAATTTATAGCCAGAGTAGCAAGCAAGTTCCCAAGATGTGTTGTGTTAGCTGCCAGTGCTTTGTTAATGTTTATTTAATATACTCGTAAGTTGTATGAAGGACCTAAGCGATAATGATGTATATCTTTAAAATGTATAACAAATGTATACCTGTAGCTCTGCTTGCCCCGATACCTATCCAGGAAGTCGAAGCAATGCCTACATATGTATATGTATGTATAGATATATATATATATATATTTATATTTCATGAGGTGTATTGCTTAAAGAGCACCCAACTTCTAATTGAATAACACGTAGGCTAATTGTTTTTGTTTACTCAAATGCCAGGCATTGTGGGAATATTGTAATATTGAAATTAATCGAAACATTTTGAAACATTTTTGGCAATACTAAGCGTTATCGTAGACATTAATATTGTAATTAGAGCAGGCGCATATTGAATATGGATTGGTCAATTAGCATATTACAAACACCTCATGAAATCGTAATTGTTTGATCCAATATACAATTATTGTAATGGACAACATAAGACTTGACAACATCATAGTAATACCAATACCAATACCTAAACAAATAACAAAATTACAAATGTTCGTAAAACTGAACCTCAACGTCAACCTGAATATAGCCCATAAAACATTTACACAACTCAATGAATTTCTACCTGGGGGCATTTTGATGCTTTTATTAACATTAATTAAGTAACTTATAGTATGGTAACCAATTAAGTAACTTTGTTTTTGGCCTAATTTTCTAGTTTTTAATTTTTGATATGACAATTTTTGTATTCTTGAAATTGAAATTCGTTTTCATTATTTGTACGCGCAAAGGATGACAAATATATAAAGTGCGTGAAAATGTGCAAATCGAAAAAGAAAAAAGAACCAGAAAAACACGCAGAGGTTTGTTTGATTGATTTGTTTTTCATTTGCCCGCCCGCCCAACAAGCCAACATGAAGTCTGAACTGTCAATATATATATATATATATATATTTTTTTTTTGCTTCTGATACTTTTCTGCACCGCACCAATTTTCTTGTAGACACACACACATCCACACACACATCGAACATCCATCAATTATTTAGGCACAAGCAAAACACACACAAATTCACCAAAACACTTTTTGTGATAATCTTGCAGAAATCATAATTTGATAAAAGAGATATTTAAAATTCATTTGTTTCTACTTTTTTTTTTTGTGGTTCAATATAATTATGGATAAATCTCATAGCTTTGGCGATGGCATTAGCTATCCCATACGACACCTTGAGGAGGATACCGAATCACTGTTGGGCTATCACAGCGACACGCGCATCGAGCTGGAGGAGGACTTCCTGCCAGAGGCGCGATTTCAGGACTCGATCATTCCATAGCTAATCATGGCCAGCGACAATGTGGCCACGTATTACATATAGATCTTTAGTCTTGTGCGACAAATACACATTCAGCATTTTCTTTATGTAAATAGGGCAGTCCGTAAGATATATATATATATATATATATATATATATATATATATATGTATACATTTATTTTGTATTAGTTTATATATTATGTTAAAAGGATACAGATAGATAAGGGTTAAACTGTATGTTAAGCGCACCATTGTTACCAAATTCTTTGTGTCTTATGTTGACAGTGCGAGTGACTGAATAATAATACCAATTAAATGCCTATATAGTTGCTTCTCAGCATAAATCAAACGCTGCCACAAAACGTAAGAAAGGACATTCTGACTCAAGAAAAAAAAAACAAACAAAAACCAAATCGATCAATGTATAAATTAATGTTATTTGAACATTCCAGATAATTGTGTATAGTTTCATAAGTCCAAATGTTATAGGAGCGTTACGAACAAAATAAGTGTCTTTAGTGGCTAAGAATGAAGACATATGTTGCATGTGGTAGATCAGGATACAGTTACAAATAGTTTTTATGCATAACAAACAAATCATTGCAATGTCATCTATGTATATTAAGAGTGAAACAGTACAATATAGTAAAAAAAAACCACACACATTCAATCGAAACGACTCAAATCATCCTCATCGCTGCCTGCGCTGAGCTGAGCTGCAACAAGTGGCACATTAGCTGAAGAAACCACCTCGAAATCGTTCTCCAAATTGATGCTGGCAGCTTCAGCCCCACGCTCGTTAAACGGATTTGGATGCTGAGGAGCTCGAGCTAGAGCTGTGACGGGTTCTGTGGCTGGAGCTGGTGGTGCTGCTTGTGTTACAGATTCCTGTAGCGCTGGCTTCTCCTCAAGTTTCCTCTTCTTCTGTTTTCTGCTAACCAGCATATCGCGTGCCATCGCAATGCCTGTGTCCTCGCTGCGAGGCAGCAAATCGCTCAGATCGCACTCCACATCCGTGTGCTGTGGCAGCAGTTTCTCCTGCAGAGCAGCCAGGGCTATGAGCAATGCCTCCTCGGTGCGTATGGTCCGTGAGCCCTGCTTGGGCAACACATTCACATAGTGATCGAAGAGGAGCTCGGGCTCGTCCACGGTCAGCTTGGAGTCATTGGCCAGCGCCTCTTCCAAACCCTGCAGGCCACCAAATACAATGAGCATGTGATTGTATTGAATGGATTGGCTGGGCACATCGTGTACACTTGTGCCACGATCCGAAGTGCCGACTGTGACATCGTAGCCGCCCTTGTAGGGTGATCTCGTAAATATTTCCGACAGCGAGTGAGCAATGCGCACCTGATAGCCCCAATAGACACCCGTCTCGCGACGCGGCTCCTCCGGACTGACCAACGTGCCGCGTTGTTTCCTGCTCGCATCTAAACGAGAAAAACACAAACGATAATAATAATAACTATACAAGTTTATTAAAGCAAAGCGTACCGCTTGTTGGCTCCATCTTAACGGTAACTCGCACGCCTGGCTCTAGTGCCTTATCGACCAGCACATCGTTTAGCAGACCCACATTTGCATAGCTGTGGCCATTCTTGGCCTGTTTATCGCAAACGACTCCTTCGCGATAGCGAAACTTGCTCTGTTGCCGAAGATGATGTGGCGTATCCAATGGATTCAGCAGGCCGGAGTATTTTAGATCTTTGTGCAGCGGAAAGAAATATTTGCGTAAATATTGCGGACACTCCAAATACTGCAGGATGCGGGCCAGCTGCAACGAGCTGCTCCGCACTGTGCCCGTTGTTCCGCCATCGGCATCCTGTTCATAGCTGCGCTTCGTCTCACGTGCCGTTGCCACGCCCACATCGTCGAAGACAATCACCTCGTGGACACGAAAGATGCAAGCGGCTCTCGCTATCTGGCCGGCAACATATGCGCGGAGCTCGGCAGACTGTGCATTCTCCAGTATTGAGCCTGGCACCGCTATGCTCACTGTAGATGGATTTCGCTGGGCTTTTGTGGCGTCTGTGGCCTCCTTTGTGGCGGCTGCTTCAGCATCCTGTGATATCTGCAAATCTTTAATCGCTTTGTCCTGTTTCCGCTGACGTTTGAGTGCTTTGCGTTCCTCGTTGATTCTTTTCCACGATTTGAGCGGCTCAGTGGGTTTGCCATTTCGACCGCTGGCTGTTACATCAAACATCTTGCCCGGTTTCAAGTCTACTATTCAAAATTTGCCAAATTATCAGGCAATAATATCAAAAACAATTCCAGCACGTGTTAACAACTTAAAATCGTTCCGACAACTGAACTAGTTCAAACGGCCTAGCGGTGTTTGAGCACCTGATAGCTGGAACCAATATCGAATAGAGATGCGTGGAAGTGCAGTTTTCCTGTTCTGCATCGATATTTTCATTATTGCAATTTGTTTCGGGTGATATGTATCATTTCCTACTTATATTCTTCTTAATTTAAAGTATAAATACAAAGTAACGGAAGAAAGTGCAGACCCATAGCAGTAATGGAATATGCATCCGAATCATAGAACTTCAAACATCGCTAAGAGATGGCAGCTCAACGATACTTCGATAATTCAGGTGTTTATCGATAAAAGGTACATTCTTTGCATAAACACCAAACAAAATATTTCATTTTGGTGATTTCCCTCAACAAGTGGCCAAACTAACCATCTTGCCACGAAATGAGTCGCAACGTTTTGGCGCCACCTACTCAGCGCATGAGCCACAATCGCAATTATCGCGTTAACGTCGTTCACGACGATTTCGGTGGAAGCAAGTGGAATTGTGCCAATCCGACAACTGCAAAAGGATACGAGGAACCAGGTAATAACCAATAAATTGGATATTTGAAAAATAATAAGGAATTCTTCCTTGCAGATCTTTATGCTGACGATGATTTCGAGGAGGACGGCACCGACTGCAATGTTGAGGAGCTATCCAATGGCAGCTACAAGCTGGCGCTGCATGTGCCCAAGTGGGTTTGCCTAACGTGATTTATCTAAACAGCATATATATTTACTCATATATCTGCAGATCCTTCTATGGTGGTCTGATTGGGTTCAAGGGCGCCACAAAGCGTCGCATTGAATTGGAGACGCAAACAGAGATTTATGTGCCACGTCAGAACGAGATTTCCACTGACTTGGTTATTCAGTCCAAGGAGCGCAGCAACGTTTGTGCTGCCTTGCGCAAAATTCGATTGCTCATCGAATCGCTGCGCAAACGAATGCGGCCAACACATTTCCTGGCCGTTGCGCTAAACTCGGGCGGTGTGCAACAGCGATTCCTAAAGCTAAAGGTAAGTGTCCATCCAGTTTGTTGAGAAGGCTTTAACTCAGCATATATTTTCCCACAGCAAAACATTTTGGATGCACAACTGCCGGGCATCGACCAGGAGCTTTTTATTTCAGAGAACTGCATTCATATTACACTGGGCGTGTATGTGCTCTTGGATGACGCTGAACGCAAACAGGCCATTAGCGAGCTGGAACTCTGTCGCCAATGGCTGGTCGACTTGCACACACCATTCGAGCTAAACATTCAAGGCCTGGAAATCTTCAACGATGATCCCAGCTCGACCAGAGTGCTTTACGCCCGTATCGAGTCGCCGGAGCTTCAGCAGTTCGCGAACAAATGCAAGAAGCATTTCCAAACCACCGGCCTGTATGCAGCGGACAATAACGATCCCGATAGCATCAAACTTCACATGACGCTGCTAAACAGTCGATATACCAATAAGAAACCCAATAAGAATGAAAGCAACAGCTTCGATGCACGTGAGATTCTTAAACGCTTTGGCGACTATGACTTTGGCAAGGCTCAGTGCAACGAGGTGCACATGTGTGTGTGCAAATCGTACTGTGAAGGTGATGACTTCTACAAGACAACGGGTAGTCTGAAATTTTAATCAACAGTCCAAACAAAACTTGTAATATGGATGGTAAACATCCAACTTATAGTCCAATAAGTATAATCACATTGATTTCATTAGAAATTTATGTTTTTCTTATGAATTTCTTAGTTTTGATTACCAGTGTGATATGTGAAAGGGCAATTGCATTGAGGTGCGAATCTTGATTAAGAAATTGGATTGAGCAAATATTCCTTGTTGATATTTTAAGCATAAGGACTGATAAGCAAATATAAAATATGTATGCACATAAGCAAATACATCTATATAAAATAATGCTATAAATACCCAGTCGACTGAGCTTTCATCTCAGTTTGGCTTCGCACTCTCTTGTGATGAATATAATCAGCGCTTTGAGCATTTCACTTTATGTGGCAACAGCTGGTCGGCTTTCGTTAGCTGATGATGGCGGTAATATATATTTAAAAATCGTACAGTTCGCTCCAGATGCCCTTAAATAATACACATTATACAGGTAATTTTTGTACGAGAGGAGATGGACAGCCTGGAAAATGTATAGATATTAGAGAGTGTCAAAAAATAGACGACTTATACCATCTGATTATAAGGAAACAGGGAACACCTGCTGACCAACAATACATGAGGAATTCACGTTGCCCCGTTTATAAAGCGGTTGATACATTAATCAGAGATTTGATTTGCTTAACCATAATCACTTAACTCAATCATTTTATTATCCACCAGAATCATGTATGTTGTGAAGAAGAAGTATCCGAGGAAGTTAAAATATTGTTGGAACAGGATTGTGGTTATATAGGTCCCTCTCAGAAGGTACTCTTTGGAAATGAGATAAAATTAATGTCAAGACCATGGATGGCTCTTCTTAAGCTCAAACAGAACTCCAATGTAGAATATGCATGTGGTGGCACCCTTATAACAAATCGTAAGTAAACACAGGAATCTGAATTGATATACTGATCTATAATTGATTATAATTATTAGGTTTTGTTTTAACCGCCGCGCATTGTTTTGATGGACAAGAGCTGTAAGTAAGAAGTATAAGTTGTGCGCCCGCCTTTCATATTGTAAGCTTCCAAATCTTTATTATCATAGATTAGAAGTGCGTTTGGGGGAACACAGAATATCCACCGAACAAGACTGTGATGACATAGGAAACACTCGCATATGTGCACCACCAGTTAGAGATATTTCTTTCGACAACATTTTTGTGCATGAAAATTACTCACGAGACCCTGCTGAAAATGATATTGCATTAATCAAGTTATCGACAGACGTTGAGAGCAGTCGTAAGTTAAATTGTTAGTATTGTTTACAGTTGCACACTTAATCGGTTATGTCCTTGCCACAGTTAGCATTCGGCCCATCTGTTTGCCAGTAAATTACACACTTCAACAAGAAGCTGAACATCACGAGATATTCAGGGTAACTGGCTGGGGAGCAACCGAAAGGTCAAACCACTCCGATGTTCCCAAGGAGACGGGAGTCGATAGGCAGAATCATTCTCTCTGCCAAAATGTATACGGACAAAGCATGAAATCGAGTCAAATCTGTGCTGGTAGCTTCCAAAAGGATTCATGCAAAGGTGATTCTGGTGGTCCACTATTTTATCCAACTGTATATAATGGAGTGCAACGTATGGTACAGTTTGGAATAGTCAGCTATGGTTCGTCTTCTTGCGGGGATGGAAAACCGGGTGTCTACACAAATGTTGCCAGTTTTATACGCTGGATCGCTGACAAATTAATTGCTAATTAGCGATAAATTTCTGTTGTATTTTCATTTTTAATAAATATGAATGAATATATTGAGAGCATAAGAGATAACACATATATTTTTTAGTAAATCGAAATGGTTTCCTGTAACTGAGCCAAGCGCTGCGCATTCGTCAACTTCCATGTGACACAGGCTAGAGATGTGATGAAGAAGCCAATGCCTCGAATGAGAATTGCCAGACGTAAGTCTGTGTCTGTGTCAAGAGGAGCAACGCTGTGAGGCTGCACTTACCCATTAGCAGTACGGCCTCAGATGTTTCGTCCTGCCAGGATTTGGATACCGCGCACAGCAAGATAAATCCGCTGAGCAGGCAAAAGGAGCCAACGACAACAGCTAATGTTATTAGGATGATGGCCGGATCGGTCTCTCTGAGCGTCTTATTTGGAAAGAGCGTTTGGCAGAGCGATGCCTTCTTCGAGTCACTGCTGTGGACACTGCGAGGTAAATCGATGCATAAAATAATCAAATCGTCCGAGCCGAATCAGTTACACACCAGGACTCTGCATAGGTTGGCAGAATGGGAACACTTCTGCATTCCATGACGCTGCTCTCTGCACTGCTAGCATGCGAGCAGCATCCGAAAGTAGTCTCCGGCTTACTTCGGATAGCTCGCACCACTTTTCTAAATATACATCTGCACTCACGGCAGACAGCTGATGCCTCGCGTGTCTGGTCGTCCCGGATGGGGCGCATCTGTCGGTATTTATAGCTAGATAGGAAGTGGCGGATTCGGAGTCGCAGCGGAACTAAACTCCCATTTCATCCAATTTCAGCATTCAACAATGATGATATTTTTGGCTCAATGGGCAGGCCCGTCTTACTTATGTCTATATATATTTACGTTAAGGTCATTGCACCCCCTTTTATAATCTTGCAACCATGTTAATATTTTCAAATACACAAATATATTTTGTAAGCTGAATTGGGGACAATGAGTATTTGATGTGCATATATATGTATTTACCTCGATTTGTATTCGTGCTTTAATAATATACATCAGAACAGTTTGTGGGATATATTTCTTTATGGAATCGCTTTACTGTACAGAAAATCGTTAAAATTTTTCATTTAAGCTACGATTCCTCCGCCAGCACATTGGTTATCCATGGCATAAACCGGGCAACATTAATGCCCACACTTGGATTACAGTTTCGATAGCCAAAAGAAACAATCGCAAATTGGACGAAGCGTTTCATTCCAGAATAATCAACTAGACCACTTAATGGATTGCCAGATGTGCCTCTGCAAAGAGTCTCACTGCTTGCCGAGAAACAAATGTGGTTCTCGCTCTTAACAGGAATAAGCGGTCCACATGTTTGATTTGCGACATTATTGTTGACAATCATCTCATGCAGCTTAACATTGCTTAAGCCCCAGTTGTTATAACCCCAGCCCGTGTGGAGGAGTGTTTCCCGGGATGTCGCTTCTTTTTCTAATGCTGCATTCACTGGCAAACAGATGGGACTGTTGTGTTCTGATGAAAGAAGTCAATTGATTTCAATTGCATAATTGAATGGATTAGAATAATCATCTTACCTTTGAAGTCAACCTTGCTTTTGAGTTTTATCAGAGCGATATCATTGGAAAATGATGTTGGTGTTTCAAAGTTTTCATGAATTATGACGCTCTCGATGCCAAAGCTCTCAATATTTGACAAACATGTTGTCTTCGTTGTGGAATTGTTGCAGTCTACATCCGTTGTTAGGTCTGCAACAATCAATTATAATCTGATTTGATCATACATTGTCCTCATTATCATATCACATAACATGTATCTATATATGAAATCTCCATATTCCAAATGGCTGATGGCGGTACTTACATCTCAGCGCCTTTAACACAATGCGCAACAGTTGGAACGAATTCTGATTGTGAAAGGTCAATTATAAAGATTAAAACTATACGTTGTGATCACGACAGTAACTCACGATCCGTAATAAGGGAGCTTTGTCCTAATCCAGGGCCTCGATCCAGTGAAAACTTCCTCTCCTCCTATAATATGGCTTTCCTTAAAGATGCCACAATTATTTTGCTCCAATCGGCGCAACCCATCCGGATTAAGCTCTATTTAATAAGGGTGTGAATGGCATGACACCAATCCGGCTATATATATATATTGATATATGTATATATATACATCCAATATACATAAATATGATCGACATCTATTTACTAACTTACGGCTTATATTATATAGGTATGTGTAATTTAAGTAATATGCCTGTAAATGTCTAGAATGTACGCAATTATTTCTTCTTATATTGTACGCATATTAGAATAACTTACTGAGCTATTGTTTCATGATTTATATTATATTAATGGAGTATTGATAACGTTGATAACCTTGGTAGCACGAGCAATTTGATAAGCTTGCTAAATTTGGTTATGCCCCGTTGAAGGGACCAAGCCAAATAGCATAATTAGACGCTCGACAACATTTAGCAAATGCATATTAGAAAAACACCAAATTTGCGTAACAATTTTAGCTTATCTGCCAATTTAGAAGTCGACTCACGTCGGGTCGCGCATGCCAAAAATATATACACACGTAAATAAATAAATGTGTACATTTGTAAATGCTCCATGAATGCGAAGCTGACGAAAAGTGGTCATGATTGTTTAGTGTTTAATTTAATATTGAGATCTGCAGAGACACAACAGGCAACAGAGATCAATTCAGAACGCTGGGTATTCTCCACAATTCTCTGGAATCTCGCTCTGTGGGTAAAACACACGAGCACAAAACCCAACACACACAAAGCGAAACACTTAAGTCTCGAATTCGACAGTTAGTTGGATTTCTACGCTTCATAAGTGCACACAATCGACAATTGATCGCAAGTAGACTTTTGATACAATAAACTAAAATTCTCATTTAAATACAATGTCCGATTGTAAGCGCAGTTATCGTTATCGCGCCTTCGATTATTTTGTACGCGCCATTGCCTTCGCCAGCCTGTTCATCGTTATGAGTGCCATCTATAGGCAGGACGATTTATAGGCAGGACGATCCTGGCTCCAACTATATCATCCCAGACACGGCATGCAGTAAAGCCAATAACCTAACTAGACTTAAGTGATTTCTTTAAGTATTGTCTACCTAATTAACAATGCACTTTACTTTAGTAAACTGTTCAATATTTAATAAAAAAAAAAAAAGCTAAAGATTTTAATAATGTGAGTATTTTAACGAAAAGTGTGGTTAAGCTAACTGGGAATATTATAAATAAAATCTGTTGTTTTCCATGGGTTGTTTATATACTTTGATTCATGCATATAATTACAATTATTTGTTTACTAACAATTCGCATTTCCCCAACGAATGGAGATGCATGGAAGTGCAGTTCTCCTGTTCTGCACCGACATTTTCATTATTGCAATTTGTTTCGGGTGATATGTATCATTCCCTACTTATATTCTTCTTAATTTAAAGTATAAATACAAAGTAACGGAAGAAAGTGCAGACCCAACTGTCCAATAAAACTTGTAATATGGATGGTCAACATCCAACTTATAGTCCAATAAGTATAATCAGATTGATTTCTTTGGAAATGTATGTTTTTCTTATGAATTTCTTATATTTGATTACCATTTTAATATGTGAAAGGGCAGTGGCATTGAGGTGCGAATCTTGATTAAGAAGAAATTGGATTGAGCAAATATTGTTATTTTAAGCATAAGGACTGATAAGCAAATATAAAATATGTATGCACATATATATACATCTATATAAAATAATGCTTTAAATACCCAGTCGACTGAGCTTTCATCTCAGTTTGGCTTCGCACTCTCTTGTGATGAATATAATCAGCGCTTTGAGCATTGCACTTTATGTGGCAACAGCTGGTCGGCTTTCGTTAGCTGATGATGGCGGTAATATATATTTAAAAATCGTACAGTTCGCTCCAGATGCCCTTAAATAATACACATTATACAGGTAATTTTTGTACGAGAGGAGATGGACAGCCTGGAAAATGTATACATATTAGAGAGTGTCAAAAAATAGACGACTTATACCATCTGATTAGAAGGAAACTGGGAACACCTGCTGACCGACAATACATGAGGAATTCACGTTGCCCCGTTGATAAAGAGGTTGATACATTAATCAGAGATTTGATTTGCTTAACCTAAATCACTTAACTCAATCATTTTATTATCCACCAGAATCATGTATGTTGTGAAGAAGAAGTATCCGAGAGAGTTAAAATATTGTTGGAACAGGATTGTGGTTATATAGGTTCCTCTCAGAAGGTACTCTTTGGAAATGAGATAAAATTAATGTCAAGACCATGGATGGCTCTTCTTAAGCTCAAAAGGAACTCCGATGTAGAATATGCATGTGGTGGCACCCTTATAACAAATCGTAAGTAAGCACAGGAATTTGAATTGATATACTGATCTATAATTGATTATAATTATTAGGTTTTGTTTTAACCGCCGCGCATTGTTTTGATGGACAAGAGCTGTAAGTAAGAAGTATAAGTTGTGCGCCCGCCTTTCATATTGTAAGCTTCCAAATCTTTATTATCATAGATTAGAAGTGCGTTTGGGGGAACACAGAATATCCACCGAACAAGACTGTGGTGCCACAGGAAACACTCGCATATGTGCACCACCAGTTAGAGATATTTCTTTCGACAAAATTTTTGTGCATGAAAATTTCTCACGAGACTCTGCTGAAAATGATATTGCATTAATCAAGTTATCGACAGACATTGAGAGCAGTCGTAAGTTAAATTGTTAGTATTATTTACAGTTGCACACTTAATCGGTTATGTCCTTTCCATAGTTAGCATTCGGCCCATCTGTTTGCCAGTAAATTACACACTTCAACAAGAAGCTGAACATAGGAAGATATTCAGGGTAACTGGCTGGGGAGCAACCGAAAGGTCAATCCACTCCGATGTACCCATGGAGACGGCAGTCGATTGGCAGAATCGTTCACTCTGCCAAAATGTATACGGACAAAGCATGAAATCGAGTCATATCTGCGCTGGTAGCTTTCAAATGGATTCATGCTATGGTGATTCTGGTGGTCCA